TCCCCCCCCTCCACTCCCACCTCGCCGCATACAATAAGGACAGAGCTAATAACTTCCTCCTCCCTTTCTTCCCCTTCCAAAAATGCTGTTCATCAATAAAGTATAGTTTTGCAAGAACGGGTTGGCTACAGATCTCACAAAAAAATGAAAGAAAGAGAAGACGTTCCTCACAATTAGCTGTATATTTTCTCTGGAAGAATGGTTGTACATTGTGGGAATTCGTCAGCTATAACGCATCCAAAAGTAGACTTTTAAATCTATTACAACATGTGTACTTTTTCCCTGTTTGCTTTGTTCCTTCTATTACGCCTTACTGATCTATGGAACTGTTGATGTAAAGAAAAGATTCCTCTCACTATAGTTCTCCAACACGGAGAAAGCCAGCAGTAGAGCTGTAGAATTTGATAGCACTTTCAAAAGCTAAACTTCTAGCCTTGCTAATATTGAGAAAATAGGTAGTCGATAAAATATGCATCATCATCCTCATATAATTATCCAATCAAATCAATCAATCATCCAATCATCATCATCATCATCACTATCATTTACAACAATAACATTATTAGTACTGTATGCTCTTTTCCTCTATCATCATTATCAGTGCTTTTCACCCCTGGTAGGGAAAAACGCCACATACAAGCTCCTGCCTTTTATCTCTGTCCTGGGCCATCTTTCCAAGCTCGTTCCAAGTGAGCTTCATCTCTCTCATGTCCCTTTCCACGTATCTCCTCCATGTTTCCCGTGGACTACCCCTGCCTCGTGCTTCATGTGGGTTCCACTGCAGTGACTGTCTTGTGATGTTTCCGCTGGGCTTTTAAGGTGTGTCCCATCCATCGCCACTTTCTTAGTCCTATTTCTACTTCTATATCATTTTGTCCTGTCCTTTCCCACAGCTCTTCATTTTTTATTCTTTCCTGCCACTTAAATCTTAGAATACTCCTCATGCATCTGTTGATGAAAGTCTGGACTTTATTCAGTACTGTCTTTGTTGTCTTCCAAGTTTCGCTGCCGTAGAGGAGCACAGACTTGACGTTGGAGTTAAAGAGTCGAATCTTGGTGCGCAGAGAGATGTTGCTTGCTTTCCAGACTTTAGATAATTGATTGAATGCTGACCTTACCTTGGTGGTTCCTGCTTTAACATCTGCCTCGGTTCCACCTTTTCCATTGATGACACTTCCAAGGTGTCGTCTATAAACGATAAAGACCATAAAGACAATAAAAATCTAGGAGGTCCCGTATGCAAGTTGCGCACATTAAAGATCACTTGGTGGTCCAAAATCGATAAGAGTAGGCTTCGGCCGCCACCCTTTCAAAATTCAAAATTCCCTTCCAACTGGAAACGTTTAATGTGTCCCGCGGGCTCATATTATGATCTTATGCAGTTGCGAGCTCCGTAAAACAGTTGTTTTTTTTTAACAAGAAAAAAATCCACGTTTTACGAACAGAACAAAATTTGATTAGCACTGAAGAGATCCCACATTGCAAAATAAACATTTTGTATTTTTTGTTTCAAATATAATATGAGATAATTTCCATTTCTCTCTCTCTGTCCACTGTTCTTATCCACCTTTCTCAATCGACCTCTGTCTTGTTTTTTCTCCCTGTTTCAGTCTTATCTCCCAATATCAAGAAGGAAAAAAACCCTTCTGGACAAGCAATCCAATGCTGGTCTCTTGAAGGGTATAAGGGGATCTTACCACTATACTATCAATGACTCACTCCCTTTGCAGAAAAATTATAGATAGAATCAGACAGATGTGTGACGAAATGGTTTCCTTTCGAATCTTAGCTTGTACACGCCAAGAACACGTTCAGCAGCCTTGTCGTGTGGAGAAAATGAATTGTTCCGTTTATTTCTTAGTGTGTTATTCTGGGCAAAAGGATTATGGACCCGAGTTCTACGTCATACAATTGGAAAGAAAATCACAAAATAACTAAAATAAACGTAAGGTACATGACTAAAGAATCCGATGGTCAAGATTACACTTTCGTTTTAATGTTATCAGAATTTTGCAATACCATTCCGGATTCTGAGCCTTTATTTTTACAATTTGGAGATAGCTCCAAGTACATGGTTATCATAGTTATAATAATGATTACCGTTATAATTGTTATATTAATAATTATGATTATTAT